CCGTCTGGTCCTGGAAGTCCGACGTTTACATCGTCAAAAGTAATGGAAGGAGTACCGTGATGCTATTATCACCAACAATTCATTATTATTGGTGCTGCTGCCATCAGCACCTTTGTTTCTAGATGTTGGAGCTTGGCCTGTTTTCCAGTGTAGTCCTGTTTCTCTGACTGTGACTAACTGGATGTGCGTGGACCTGAGATGACATGATGTGAGCTGGTGCTATAGAAATACACTGAATAGAATATTATTACCTATTAGTCTTGTTAAACGTGTTTGGGAATAACAGAAACCGTCTTATAGTTGCATCTCATCAGGACAGCAGATGCTGGCAAAGATAAATCCAAACTCCATGTGGCGTTCAGAGGAGCTCTAGAAAGAGATGCAGATCTCCATGGTCTCCATCCAAGCCACACGTCAGCAGCTGCATTGTTCTTTCCACATCTGGAATCAGAGGGCAGGATTCCTTCAAACAACCAGAACCTTCTCCTGAGGCAGGGCAATGGTTGCTTCTGCAGTCATTCCTGCTAAAGGGTTCCCCACCAAGTACTGAGTGAATAACTGTACAGAATTATTTGGAGGTTGACTTTTTTTATTAGGAAATCTTTTCTTTTATTGGTTGGATGAAATATGCTAACTTGGTGAGATAGGAATGTTGGGTTTTCATGAGCTGGATGCTAAAATCATCCGTATGAAGACAATAAAAGACCTGAAATATTTCAGTCAGTGTGCAAAGAATCTAAAATATATGAATGTTCAGGTTTTACCATTGAATTATGGAAAATAATGAACTTTATGACAATATGCTAATATTTAGAGAGGGAGCTGTAGATACTGGTGGGGAGCGACTGGTTGGGGATGTGTTGCTAAGGGTCTGAGGTCAGTTCATAGACACTAATAATTTATACACATGGTAAAAAACACAAAACAAGTTGCTGAAAAACTAACAGTCACATGGTTCCTGTCTCTGAATGACTGAATCAATCCTGCTGAAAACTTCAGGACAATGAAACAGTTTTTTCTATTTTTCTGAATCCAAGAGTGGAAATCATCTGGAAGATATTTACGTGACAGGAAAAAAGAAAAGTTGAGTCAGAATTGAAATATCAGAATCCTAATAGACTCTAAACTAACGTTTAAATCCCAGATAAAAAAAGAAAGTTATCCAATAGAGTCAAATTCTATATTATAAATGTCTGTTTCATAAGATCAAACTGGTCACTGCAGGCAGCTTCATGTACAGCTTG